CGTCCTATACTAGAAGAAAAGTTAAGGGAGGAAAGCGAATTAATAGACGTTAGAATATAAAACGGCTATAAAGGAAGTATAGCGGAAGTATTAAATATAGTTTGGATATTAAATATTATTAAATTAGAAGGAGTTTATTAAAACGATAATAAAAAAGAAGAGGATTATTTTGAAAGTATAATAGGCTATGTAGCGCAAAAGCGTTACTAAGGCCTTAAAAAACCCGAATTAACTCTAACCTTTAAAGAGATAGGCCTAGACCTGAAATTATTACTTGATAAATTTATTTAAACTATTAACCCTCCAAACTAGCGAGGGGGTAGTAGAAATCAAAGATTATTGTAGTAAGGCCGAAGTTTTTACCGATTGCTTCTTCCTAAGGGTAAATATTCTAATAGAGTATTTACCAGACTAGATTAAATTAATAAATAGTATTAACCCAATAATTATTAGCGAATTCATTATTAAAAAGGATATTTAAAATATTTTCTCCCAAATAGTATTTAATAAAACCCCGGGTATCGACTAATATTTAAATAGATTTTTAAAATTGTACGGGCAATTATTCTAATAAATAATAATATACTTAATAACCGTTAGCCTCCAGCTCAGGTATTTCCTATAGTAATTTAAAGATATAAAAATAATTATCCTTAAAAAACCCGGAAAAAACGCCGCCCAATAAAAGCTAGCGGGCGTATAGAGACCTATATTACTATTCAATAATATTCGAAAAATCTTCGAGGCCCTTATAATTAAGAGATTTATATAAGTAGCCGAAGAGTTTAACCTTCTACCGGAGGGCTAGATAAGTAATTAGGCGGGTTGTTTAATAGAATTTATAGTCCGGGTAATTATTAATATAGTCTATATAGTATAGAAACTCGGGGCCGTAATATCCTTTATACTCCTCGATTTAAAAGGCGCGTTCAATAAGGTTAATTATAGGTAACTTCTATATACTTTATAGGAAATATAATTCCTAATGTAAGTTATTAAGTAGGTAGCGAGCTTTGTTATAAAAAGGAAAGGTACTCTCTTCTTTAATAATAAAACGTTTTACCCCTATACTATTATAATGACCGTACTTTAAGGCTCCCCCTTCTTACCTATCCTATTTATTCTCTATATTACCTTATTATACTAAAAGCTAATAATAATCCTAAAAGTAATTTTAATTAGCTTTATAAATAATATTAATATTATTATAATAGCCTATACTACCGAAGAGAATTACTAGATTTTATAAGCAATATAGGAAATATATTCGGAATAGGTAAGGGCGAAAAATATAGAGTTCGAAGCGAATAAAATAGAATTAATATATTTTATACGGACGAAGGTACTAAAGATGGAAATTCTTTAATTTAGAGACGTAGTACTTTGATTAATAAAATTAATAAAATTCCTAAGGGTCTAATTAAATTGTAAATTTAACTATAAAACTCATACAAAAATAGTAAAATAAAAAATAGAAATTCAAACGAATATACTTATAAAATTAATAATAGAAACTTAAAATTACTCCTTTATTCGGGTAAGGGAAATATATACTAAGTATATTCATAGCGCTATTATATATAGAGCCTCAATATTCTACTAATTAACCGAAATCTATAGGAAATTATAAAAAATTATAATTAAATTAGTGAAATACTAAACCAAATACTTAAAAGTTATCGTTAGGGTATATAAAGCTATATTAATATAGAACCTAGAGATAAAAACCTTTTATCCACCGCTCGACCTCTACTTTAATAAAAGAATCCGGACCTTTAAAAAAAAGTTTATTCGTACGGACTAAGTAAAATTCGTCTAGAGAATAATAATTTAGGTAATTAATTATATTCGAATATAATAGGTTAGAAGTCGGTTACCCGCTAATAAATTAGAGAATAGTATAATTAAAATTAAATAAATTAAAACGTAGGTACGAATAGAAAAATTATTAATAATTATAGCTAATCCTCCTCGGGAATTAAGGACCCTACTACTATTATTACAAATCCTAAAACCTATAGCCGCTAACCGAGAAAAATAATTAGAGGATATAATAAATAAAGAGTAAATATTATACTATAATTACCATTAGCAATAATAATAATTAAATTAAATTAATAATATAAATTTACTATTACTAACCTTACCCCTAAATTTAGTAGTAAAGTTATTTAATAATATATAATCAGTATAAAAAAGGAAAAAAAAAGAAGGAGAAATCGAACGCCGGAAGAAAATAATAACGAACTATACCTACTAACTAAAGCGAAAAGTTCCTTCCTAATCTAGGCTAGAACGGAAGTTATAGGACTCCGGGCCTTTCTTTTCCGGAGAAAGGTATTAAACGTTTAAATACCCGTCTACGCCTACGGACTGGAAAAAAAGACCTTCGCCTATATTATTTTGAATTACCTCAATATAGAAGGCCTCTTCTAGTCGGATACTAAAAATTGGCTACTAACGAAAAAAGAGCTCTAAAATTACCTAGACAAAAGAATTAAAGCTGAGAGGATTCTATTATAGGCGCTAAAGTTAGGTAGATTAAAAGAATACCGTCTAATAATCGAATTAGAGGATGAGTAGCGTAAGGAAATCGCGAAGTATTCCGAAGAAGAGAGTAGATTATTAACGGTACTAGAATAAAAAGAACGAAGGGACGGGGAGGAGACGATTGTACTAACTATAGGTACTATTTACGAATAGCGTTGGACGGGTTAGTATAGGGTTGAGAATATAGTCCTATTATTCTTATTATTCTAGTATTGGGATAACGTAGTAAAGGAAGAGACGAGATTAGTTCGCTGTGGCGGTGGGTGAGAACCGTCATAGCTGTAAGCAAAGTAGGAGCGGCGTGGGCAAACTACGGCCGAGATGAAGCTGGGGGTCTTTATCCGGCGGCGCTTAACGCCGTACGGTTTTCCCCTCCAGAGAACTGGAGAAGGACCCCATACCAATAAGGCGCTATAGTTATATAGAAAGGGCAAAAGAATATTATTAAATCTTATTTTATAAAGTAGAATGAGTCGTCTTCTTTTACTTTGGGAGGGCGATATAATAACGCTTTTAAGCGTATAGGGGTAATCTAATTCTACCCCTATAGGTTCTCGAAGGCTCCGGGTATTAATTGTACGTCCGGTCGAAAAAGGTTAATAGTATTGTTAGTTCTTCTTCCGCCAAGCTAAATAAATAGGTTAGATAGTTTGACGACCGGGCTAAACCCCTCGTTTTATTAGGTTTGGTTATACTAGCTAAATAATTCTACTTTTTATTTATATTATAAAATAGGGTTCGAGACAAAATTCGAGCTGGAGCTAGAAGTTAATCGATAGTTATTATTAGGGCCTCTAGCATTAAATATTATATTTGGTATCGTTTATAGCGGGAGGTAGGGGGTTGGGGGTTGTTCACTCCGTTAATATTGTAATATAACGCTTTGAGGAGACTTAGTAACCCTTCTAATTTGAGTAGTCACAATGAATTAATTGACTATTGTTACGTTAATAATTCTAATTAGATAGTAGGATATTTAAAGCCGTTCCTAATTAATAAAAGGATAATACTTAATATTATATAAAAGTAAAATCCTACGAATAATAAAAGTAATAAGACTAAAAACTACAAAACAAAGTAATATTAAGTATAAGGAGGAGAAGGAAGCGAGTAAACGAGGGCATCGCGGTTCTAGACATATAAGTCAGAACTGCCACTCGTTACCGCCTTCCTTATCCAGAAGTCTTATCGATAAGAACATAAGCCTCATTGCATCCGATGTGCTACGGTGCCCTGTGCTCCGGGGTCCCATTCAGCCGTGCCATAACACTTATTAGAGCCGTATATATAGTAATTGTATAGGAACTACCTTACGTAAATCCCTAGCAACGGCTGATAGAAATATTGGATTAGAATTGTAATAGTACTTTCTCTACCCGAGTACCCGAACGCTTAGGAGTCGTATATAATTTGAATAATGCGGGTCCGGAGAGAATTTAATTCTTAGTCGGTATTAAATAATTTTATAGCCTCCGCTTCAGTAATTACCGGGCACCTAAGGATCTATAACCTTCCCTAGTATTTTAAACGCTTAAAATTGTTAATAGAATAATTTATAATTCAAATTTTACATTTAAAGGAAGGGGGTAAGTCCCTTGTATTACTTTTTACTACGTTAAAGACTTACTAATATATAGTATCCTTCCTTACTATAGAGTCCTAAAGCTATTGTAAATCTGGATCTTTAAAGACTTTTATACCCTTCCTCCGGGCTGTTCGAGTACCCCGAAGACTTATAGCCGATATACGAACGTAATTATATAAAATAGATTTAGAAATGAGTTAAAGGTTTTAAATTTCCTGATTGTCTTTGGTAGGCTAATTTTAATCCTTCTGTAACAATATATTCGGTACTACCGCTTCCTTACTCGGCCGGTTTTAGAACTCGAAAGTAAACCGGGAAACATATTCGGCCTAATAAGCCTACCGTTTGGATAAATACTACCGGGTTATAAAGTATTCTAAATTATGGTAGTCTATTAAAACTATAAAGCTCTTATAATTATACAACTTAATTTACTACTCTTATAAATATTTAATTATTGCTAATAATTTTTTATTGACATAGAGTAATTATATTCGGTTAATTGTAATTTCCTCGAGTAAAACGCTAAAATATATTTTTAACTATCTACCTCTTAGGTTAAATAACCCTTTAATACAAAGCCGCTATGGTCAATTTTAAGCAAAATTAGACGCTCGGGGTCCTATTTGGTTAATATAGGTATTCTAATAAATAGTATCTTTCAAAGCTGGAAGGTTTCTTTATAAATTATAGACTATTCAAACAGAATTCTCTTACTAATAAATACTATAAATGATACTACTATTGCAACGAACTCCAGTATAAGTATTCGGTAACAACTTATAAACCCTAGGAAGCTCCGGACTCCCTTCTAAAATATTAGTACCGCCTATTCTAAGATAGCTTTTATTTTTTCGTAGTTAACCTAAATACCAATGCTGGCGTAAATAATAAAACTAAAGTACTTAACCTTCTTGACCGCGAATTTATACTTATTAGGATTTAAGTAAAGTCCAGCGTCCCGGAAGCGCTCAAATACTATACGGACCTTCTATATATAATCTTTTAAAAACTCATTTATAAAGATTAGAATATTATTCATATACGCTAAGTAAAAATCGTTAAAAAACTCCCACAATACTTAGTTAATATACTAATAGAAAGTAATTAAATTTCATATAACCCGAATAGGACGACCAACCATTCAAAAAGACTATAGTGCATCCGGAAAACTATTTTATATTCTTCTCCTTCGGCTATTCGTATTTTGTAGAAGGCCTATACTATATCTACTTCAAAAAACTATTTTATACTTTCAAATCCCTAGAATATTTCTTGAATAAGTAAGAGGAGGTATTAGTCCGTTCGAATAATTACTTTAAAGACTTAGTAGTTACAATAAAAGCAAAGGCCTCTACCTAGCTTCCGTATAAAGAGGACGGGGGCTTTAATAACCGAATTATTAGCCCGGATGAATCCTTTGTTTATTAAATCCCGGAGCGTCTTCTTAAGTACTAAGAATTCTTTTCAAAATATATTATATAATAGGCCAAAGTGAAGAAGAAGGTCTTTACTATCCGGTCTCTTTTTCAATTCGATCTTTAAATCAACTCCCGGTTTATAATTATTAAGCTAGTCTACTTTTTACTTCCTAAATGGGGGGATTGATCCTAAAAATCTTTGGGGATAATCTATTAGAACTCCTCGTTAGTCCGGACCCTTTAAAAACTAGAGCCTTCTTAATATCTTTAAACCGTATAGCGAATATAGAGGTTTTTATGGCAGTTCGGCCTTCCTACCAAGTAATCCAGCGAATATACTTACTAAAAATAGTGGTGAGGATATATATTATTCTTTTAGATTCTTTAAAGAATAGAGTTTTAGGTTTAGATTTACTAATACAATTTACCTAAAATTGTATAATACCATACCAGAATCTCATTTTATAAGGGAATAAATATATTTAATCAACTATTAATTATAGTTTCCTAAGGATAATAGGGTATTCGAACTCCGGTACTATATATATATGGATTAGTAAAATATAGCCTTGGAGTTCCGTAAGGATATAGGTAATATTTTGAATAGGGGCGTCCTTTATAGTTATTATAGTACCCCGGATTTATCAAGCTAGGATTGGAACGACGGAAATTTAGAAATCCCAAACAATATTTTTACTAATAACGGTATAGTACTAATAAACTTTATTAATAAGGGCGTAGAATATATTAGTAGAATTAAAAATAATTAGTATCAAAGTTCGTCCTATCTCTATCTAAATTTTAAACTCTTCTACTTTATCTAATACTTTAGAGGTAGGTTTTAATATCTAACTTCGTACTAGAACTACTTTTTTCCTTAGTCTAATTCGAAGTTAGAGATATTAGTTATTTAAAACTCTTATTCAAATAATAGGGCTACCTAAGTAGTTTAAATACGTATTCCTTTACTTTAGGGATTTATATCGGGAAGGTAAGGGTATTTGTATCACGGGGCAAGGCAATACTGAACGTATAGGGTAGAATATAACTTGTATAATTGCACAAGGAAGAAGGAAAACTATAAAATCTATGCGTAGCGGCTCATCCCATATAGGCGAGGGTAAGCCGCATCCTTAGTATACGTAACCGGAGCCTTTAGGAGCGTATAGCCAATTAGGGGGCCTGCGTTAGCCCAACAGCCGTTGTAGCAGTAGTAAGGCTAAATGGATGTCACGGGGCAAGGCGATACTGAACGTATGGGGTAGAATATGACTTGTGTAATTGCACGAGGAAGAAGGGAAATTATGGAATCTGTACGTGGCGGCTTATACTTATAGGCGAGGGTGAGCCGCATCCTTAGTATACGTAACCGGAGCCTCCGGGAGCGTATAGTTAATTAGGGGGCCCGCGTTGGCCCAGTAGCCGCTATAGTAGTAGTAAGGCTAAACGGATTAGTTAATTAGAGACCGTATATCAACTAGCAATTATAGCTGTAGTAATACTGCGATTAAATAATAGTTATAGGCTAGCCTTATAATATTACTCCGGGCTTAAAATACTTTTGGGTATTAGAATATATAAAAGAAAATTTACTAATCCTCTTTTCCTAGGGATTTAAGGCTCTCTATTACTATATTTATAACCTTTTTAAGGGTATTTACGGCCGGTATTATATAATAGGGCGACTGTTTTATAGCTAGTACTATTATTAGCGACCCCGGCCCGGTATAATTATAAACCTTATTTAAAGCTTAGGTAGTACGCTTACGCCTCCTTTCTATAGCAGTCTACTATAAAGGGACGGGGGATTCCGGGTAATTAGTATAGAATTAGTAGAGAATATTAATATAGTACTTTTTATTACTAATTAATTCCTAAGTCGGTACGTATACCTTACCCTAAATAATATAATACTCCTATTTACTATTCTTAAAATAGTAAGCGTTAATTCCCTCGAAGGATTATTCAATTATATTTTCAATATTCTCAATATATTTTATGACCCTCTCCTAATTAGTTCGAATATCCTATATATTATTCTATCCTAGTATACTTTCTTTTATTTATAGTTTTATTATATTAATATAGAAAGTGCGGCTATATTTTATATTTAGTAGTACATTGAGTATAATATAATAGTTATTAGTTATAGCTACTTTAAAAGGCCCCTCCTATAGGGGCGATAATTTCGCTTAGAGGCGGCTAGTAGTAAAGTTTATAGTATTAAAGAGTATTTTATCCCTAGGGTAGTACTATAATACGTTAGAGCGATAGGCGTTAGTGCTTTTTTTATAGTACGTTTATATATATTTCGCTATTATTATAATTTTATTAAAGATTTTCCTAAATTATTTAACGATTTTGCCGGCTTTAAATATTTTATATACTATAAATTTAAGAGGTTAAGGGGGTAAAGTTGCGCCGGTTCGATACTTATCCGGGGGTAGAAACTATAGTTAATAAAGAAGGGGGAAACGCCTATTAAATCCGATTTAGTATTATTATTTACAAATTTAGCGAGAGGTAGTTAATAAACCTAATTATTTTAGGCCTAATTTATATAGGTATAGAAATAGCGTTCTATTTCCGTATTAATATATTCCGTCTATTTATTAATTTATTAATAAAAAATTAAGGAGGGTTTTAGTATAATGTTTAACTTTGTAGAAAATACCCTCTAGAATTGTAATATAAATTAGAAGCCTCTATTTAATATAATAGTATTTAGTAATTTATAGAGGGCGAAAACTTTATTTATAAAGCGTTTAATAAGTTTATTAGTCGTTAGTATCTCTATTAGAATATAGTACTATATTTCAATTAATTTATTAACGATAATAGTAATATACTTAAACTCCCGGCCTCCTTTCTTATATAGGGTTGTAGGTATAATATAATTTATAGTAATATCCTTCTATAGTACAAAAAGTATTAGTAGTAGTTTTAAGAAACCTATTAGGGAAGAGTAGGAATATATTATCTTTACGTATTATAAATATACTTTATAGTATAATTATACTATTTTATTTATACCCGGCTAATAGAAAAATTTATTTAATATTATATATATTCTATTCTATCCTTAGTAGCCTACCGGCGCAGACTTATAATAATATTAAATAAATTATAATTGAAGGATAAAATTACTAGGGTTTAAAATAATTATTGAACGCTTATACGCCCGTTTATTAATAATATAATACTCCGCAAACGCTATTTTCTTTATTTTATATTAAATAGCTTTAAACTATTTATAGCGGCTTACGTCGGTAATAATAGTAATAATATTTTAATGGAATATAGAATTACAATAGCTAACTTCAATTAATTTATCGGAGGACATCTCCTCCGTACTAAATTCGTAAACGGTAATATAATTTATAAATATAGATAGATCGATGAGGGTTTTATTCTTAGCTAATAATTAAATATTATTTATATTGCCAGGTATATCTTCCGGCTTATAGTTTAATATATTAGATTATACCTAAAGAATACCCGGCCGATATTTAATTATAAAATAAAATTAGAAGAGGAAATATAATTAGTATATATATTAGGGTGTAAACTTCTTATCCGTTATAAAAATCTATAGACCCCGGTAGTCTATTAGAATTTTAAAATTATTTTAAGCGCCTTAGAACTTTGGAAACCACTCTTTAAATACTTTAATAATAGTTAATAACTCTTTATTATAAATATTATAATTATATTCGGTCATAGAGTACTTTTAGAAGAAGTAGGTTATTAAGTAGAGGATTCCTTCGTTATTATATTAGGATAGTATACTATTTAATACCTAATTCGAAATATCCGTCTTTACGACCGTCGGTTTTAATTAATCAAATATTTTGAAGATTAGCCCTATAATAAATACCTTCTTTATTTCTTTAAAAGCTATTTATTAGGCCTTACCCTAGGACTATATAGCCGACCTTTTAGTTAGGTTATATAAAGGGGCTATAATAATAGAGAATTAATTAATAAAGTATTTATAGAAGTTTGTAAAACCTAGGAAATATTAAAGCTATTGTTATAATTATAATACTTCCTACTTAGTAATAGCCTTTACTTTCTCTAGGTTTATTTTAATACCCCCTAGGAAAATAATTAGTCTAAAGAATTTAGTTCGCTTAATATTGAATTTATATTTATCGATATCTAACTAGAGGCTTATATTAATTATATATTATAATACCTTATTTACGTACGTTATATATTCGGCTTTATTCTTAAAATATATTAGAATATTATTAAAGTAGGTTATAGTATAAATATTTAAAATATTATAGAGTATATTATTAATATAGTTTTAAAATATACTTCGGGCGCTCTACAATCCGAAAAATAATATAAGGAATTTGTAAAGGCCGAATTGTATAATAAATACGGTAAACTATTTATAGCCTTCCTAAATGTAAATACAATTAAATACTATAATAATATTGAACTTTATAAAAACTTTAGTATAGTAAATTACGTTTAAAATTTCTTTAATAAGTAGGAGGGAATAACGAATCTTTAGGGTTCTATTATTAATATTTTAATAATTAATATAAATATAAACTCCGCCTACTAATTTTTTAATTAATAATAATAATAATACTACTACGGATTAGGAGGGCCGGATAAACCCTTTTTAAAATTGATTATCGACCTATTTTTTAATAATAAAAGCTTCTATTAAGAATATTATTCGGTAGCGGGCGTTAGGGGGCTATTTCCCCGGAGAGAATTCAATTTTATAATTATAAGTATATAAGGGGGGGAATTCTCTAGCGTTATAATTATAGAAAGCTTTAATTCTATTCTAATATTTTTATAGGAATTTAGCTCTAATTTTTTTATTAATTTTAATTAAATGGTCCGCTTTTTTATAGAAGTTTTGTACGTCCTCTTCTATAATTTTAATTATAATAGTTTTATAGGCTACTATATTTTTATCCAAATATTCCGAAAGGGGTATAGTATTAGTAATAATTATAGTTCGCAATTCCTTAAGCTTTGTATTTCCTATGTAAGTATTAATATACTTATAGAGGCGCTTAGGTAGTTCGGCCTTATATTACTACCCTTAGCCCTTGTAAATATCCTATACTATTTATTCTATAAGATTATTATATAGTTCGCCTTCGTAGAGGGTTATAAACTTTTTAAATTTTATATAGGTTATAAAGTATAATTATAAATTCTTCTATTTATAAAGGTAATTAAACGCTATAGTATTAATATTTATAATATTTGTAGGATTAATCTGTTTTATAACCGTCGGCGGTTATTTTTTAATAATTATTCTTATAGTTGGGGGGCTGCTCCCGTAATATAATTTTAAATAAGGTAGTTAAGGGTTGATGGAATTATTATTCTTAGATAATAGTGCGGTTATATTTAAAAAGCCAATTATTAGTCGCTGCGTTTTATAGGAGAGTAGTACCTAGAGGGTTAGTAAGGGGTTTTTCGTCCTGCCCGGGCGGTTGGGAAATACTATTGTTATACTTTTAATATTGGCGGCCGGCCCGGTCGTATAATTCCTAATTTAATTAAGGGGGGGAAATTTACTATATTCTCCTAATTAAACTCTTTAAGTTTAGTAGCTTTATTAGGTTTATAATAGGGTACAATAGCGATAGTTATATACTTCCTATCCGGTTCCCCTAGTTTATTAGTTTTACTAAGTTTATAATAGGGCGTTTTATATATTATAGACCTAGCTTCGCTGTCTTAGGTTTTTACTAATTGATCCTTTAGACTTATATTTATTAGTTCTCTAATTTTAAATTCTAATTAAATAGGCCTCTAAATTGGCTTTTATACTATTTATCATTCTATTAAGTTTATAATTAGACTTCTAATATTGTCCGGTTGAATAAGCTTCTAGGTTAGCCTTTATACTCTCTATAATTCTATTAGGCTTATAATTGGACTCCTAATATTATCCGAATTTCCCGGCTTTAGTAGTAAAATTAATAGGAGTTTTATATATTTTTTTAATATAATTTACTATTTCCGTTTGAGGTTTCGGGGAGTTTATAGGGGGGTGGCTTATTGGAATTAGTTTTAGATAGTAGGTTATAATTAATTGTTTAAATAATTTAAAATTGGACTAAATAGTAAAGCGTTTGGAATACTTTTATTTAATAGCCATTTTTGCGAATTAAAGGTCGAGGGAAGTATTTCTATTTTTATAATATAATTCTTCGTCTTCGTTTAACGTCCGGGGGAAGTAAGGCTATTATTATTTATTATATTATTTTTCGGGTTATTAGCTTAATAATATTAGGGAAGGAAAATATAGTAATTAGTATTCGGTACTACCTTTAGAGATACTAGTAGCCCGGTAGGGAGGTATTTAGTATTATATTTACTAGAGAATATAATCTTCTTATTAATCTATAAGATAGATAGTTTATAGTACTTTAATTATAGTAGGCCTAACATTATTAGGTAAGTTAGTAAGAAGTTATATATTAGAAAGGTAACGTTCTTTATATAGTATCTAATAAGGAGGTTTATGGTTAAACCTTTGGTAATAAAGCCTTTTATAATGCTGTCGGTTACCATAGACTTCTTAGGACGAGTGAATTTAAATATAATAAAGCTATTCCGCTTTATAAAGGTATAGTTTAAGAAGGTTAGGGCTGAATAACTATTATTTACAAATACAATATATAGTATTTTATATAATCTAAGTAGGAGATGGGAAGAGAGGAGTATTGAATTTTAATTAAAACTATTTAATAAATTAATAATAATTGGTTCGAGTATTCTATTAGTATTCCGAGGGTTCTCCTCTATAGATTTTTATTGCCTCTATAGGTAATTATTTATAGAATTTAACTATTAAATACTAGTACCGGGTATATTATATTCGTCTTCTTCGTTCCCGCCTCCTTTAGTGCTAATAATATATAAATTAGTATTACTATAGCCCCGCTAGCTAAGGGAGGGTTAATTAATATTAGAATAGGTATTGCGCCCTCTATAATTACTACGGCTACTACGACCCTAATTAATATAATTATTGCGAAATCTAATAAATTATAGGGGTTTACTACTATAGTTAATACTATTCTTATAATTGCGTATAATATAGCCCTCTTAATTATACTTCCTATAAAGGCCTTCCCTTATTTATGAATTAATAATATTAGAGTAAATAGTTCGGGATATATAAATTATATTAAAGTCTATAGTATTACTATTTTAATTAACGGTACGGCCTTTAAATATATTTCTATTCCCGGAGGAGCTATTATTATTGCTATTTTCATTGGATTTACTAATCTACAATTAATTAACTTTAGTATAATATTTATCGTCTTCTAAGTAGCGTGCTAAATCTCTATAGAGAATTAGCTAACCTTCGAAATTGTTATTTCTCGGATATTAATATTAATTAGAAATTACCGTACGGAGTTTAACCGAAATCTTATTCCGGAAATAATAAATCTTTATAGAGTTATTAAATTAGTAGCGGTTAGCCGTTTTAATAAATTTAGTTTCGAAATTAGCGAAGTATTTATTACCTTACTTAAATTTATTAAGGCGCTATATAATATTAAAATTTAGATTAATATTATTATAGTAGGAGTTTAGGAATTTAATAAATTCTCTATATATTTACTATATTCACTGTTTAAGCGTATTATATTAAAGTAAAATAATTATAAAGTCTTTTTTAAGGGTAATAGGTACTTTAGGACTTAATAAATAATTTATATAGAGGATTTTAGTACGTTTATTAGAGAAATAGAAATAATCTAGTTTTTAGACTATTAGGATCCTGCTTTTCTAAATAATATATATTTTATTATATAGAATAGGGTTCTTTTAATTAGCTATAAATAGGTTAGGGTCAGAGAATAGTACTTTCTTAAAAACAGTTATAGTTTTAAAAGGAACCCTAGGGGAACTAACCGAAAAGGTAGTCCCCGAATTGTATTTTAACGAGCCTCCGCCTTCTATACTTAATCTATTGCCGGTATAGTTATTTTTACTATTATTAGGGTCTCGATTAATTATAATATTTTATTTTATTAAAATTTTATTTAATTTTATTTTGAGCTTTTTGTTTTTTATTCTTTTTCTATAGAATTAATTTTCGAATTCTCTAAATTAATTTACGAGGCTATTATTAAAGAGGTTAAATATTTGGAGTATTCGGGCGATTAGGGAGATTATAAAGCGGAAAGTACTATTATTTATAAGGATAGTAGCGTTAACGAGGGACCCTCTAAGGGTTCGGAGGGATTTGGATTTATTTCCTACAATAGTATTAATAAAATATTCGACGGCCTAGTTTCGCGGTACGCCTTTTAGCGTAATTAGATAAACGTTTTTATTTGTTGGTAGGTTGGAACTTTCGGACTTATTATTTTAAAGAGCGTTTAGGATGTTAATATTTTTATTTAGTACTTCTAGAAGGGTACTTTCGTCGGTAATAATAATATTACTATTAAGAATTATAGGCTTTATTAAATTCAATAGGTTGCGGGATTTTCCAGCGATCAATAACGTTACGGAGTAGTATTGAAATTCGTACTTCTTCCTTATAGTAAAGTATATTCGTAGTATAATAGTAAGGTACAATTAATTATTATAGGGTAAGGCAATATTGAACGTATAGGGTAGAATATAATTTGTATAATTATATAAGGAAGAAGGGAAATTATAGAATTTGTATATAGTAGTTTATTCTATATAAGCGAGGGTAAGCCGCATCCTTAATATATGTAACCGGAGTCTCCGGGAGCGTATAGCCAATTAGGGGGCTTGCGTTAGCCTAATAGCCACTATAGTAGTAGTAAGGCTAAACGGATTAGCCAATTAGAGAGCGTATATCAACCGGTAACTATAGCCGTAGTAATGCCGCGACTAGATGATAGTTACAGGCTAGCCCTGTGATAATGGATTAGCTAATTAGAGAGCGTATGTTAACTGGCAACTATAGCTATAGTATTACTACGATTAAATAATAATTATAGGCTAGCCCTATAATATTACCCCGGGCTCAAAATACCTTCGGGTGCTGGAATATATAGAAGAAAATTTACCAATCCTCCTCCCCTAGGGATTTAAAGCCCTCTATTACTATACTTATAACCTTCTTAAGGGTATCCGCAGCCGGAATTACGTATTGAAGTAACCGTTTTACGGCCGGTATTATTATTAACGGTCCCGGGCTAGTACGGTTATAGACCCTATTTAAGGCCCGGGCGGCCCATTCGCGCCTCTTCTTTATAGCGGTCTATTGTAGAGGGACGGGGGACTCTAGGTTATTGGCGTAGAATTTACGGAAGATATTAATAT